TGAAACCTGTGTGTATGAGTGGAGGAAATGAATGTGTGTGTGAAATCCTGTGTGTGTCTTTGTGACACCTGTGTACTGTAGGTGAGTGAGTGGGGGAAATGTGTGTGTAGATTCCATTGCATGCAGGTTAGAAGAAAAGGGCAGAATGGTGCCAGCAGATCGTCCCCCAGGGGCCTTGTTCCTGCGGAAGGATGGACAGTATAAACATGAGAGTGTAACACTGGACTGGAGAGAAACCAGCTAGACCACATTCAGAAGATGGTTTTGGGAGCTGTGTTAAAGAAAGGACATTGTGTCTCAGTGGGTGATTTATTCTGTGTCTGGAGCTTCAGGTCTCTGACACAGTCAGGTGTTCAGGTGTCAGTCAGTGTCTGCCTCTCAGTGTGTCTGACTGTGATTCAGTGTGTCTTAGTGTGTGAGGTATTCAGTGTCTGGAGTCCTGAAGCTCTCTGACTGTGTCAGTCAGTGTCTGCCTCTGTGTGTCTGCCTCTGTGTGTCTTAGTGTGTGAGGTATTCAGTCTCTGGAGTCCTGAAGCTCTCTGACTGTGCCTGTCTGTGTCTCGCTCTGTCAGGTGTTTTCTACCTGGAGTCGGGGTCGGTCGTGGAGCTCTCTGTGCTGCGCAAGGATGCCAGACTCAAACTGGAGCCCTACTACACCTATCTGGGGCTATATCGGATCTGACTGGACCCACTGAGTACTGGAAAGGCACACTGACACAGTCAGGGCATGAGACGCGCTTAGGGATGACTGAGGGACCCTCACTGACATGCTGACACACCGAGAGAGGACTGAGACTCACTGAGGGACCCTCACACACTGAAACATGCTGACACACTGAGGGACTGAGAGACCCTCACTGACACACTGAAACACACTGACACACTGAGGGACTGAGACACAGTGAGACACTCAGAGACTGAGACACACTGAGGAAATGAGAGACCCTCACTGACACACTGAGACACACTGGCACACTGAGGGACTGAGATACACTGACACTCGCTGACACACTTCAAAAGTTGAGCTTCTACAGCATGGCTGGCAGCTTGTTCCAGACCCCCACCACTCTCTGTGTAAAAAACACATCCTGGTCCTACACAGCACCTGCTTGCTCAGCTCAAAGCTAATTCATCTGTAGTGATTTAGCAGGTGAGAAAGACAGACAGCAACGGGCTTATTGTAGTTTTATTCACAAGAAATTTAATTTAATGTGTTTTGTCAATATATATTTTAAATAAAATATTTAAATTAAAAGTGCTGTCTGGTATGACTGAAATGTTCCAGCAATATTTAACACACACTAGCTAGAGGGTTGTCATTTCACATGGGAGAACAACAGGACATCAGCATTATCACACAGGATCTGATGTCGGGTGCCCTTATTGGCCTGATGCAGACGCTCACATGGACAAAGCCCAAGTGGGTATGAAAAGGGTTATGAGATGGATTTCGCCAAGAACGGAATTGTTGCCATTATTGTTTATTGTGACATCTAGTGGCTGATCCGCTGTTTTACAGTTACAAGGTGAAGACGGTATATCCCCATCCAAATTTCTTTTCCCAGCCACTTCTTCCAATTCGGGGTCTCAGGGGAGCAGGAGTCTATTCTGGCAAGCAGTGGGCTCAAGGCAGGGTACACCCTGGATGGGACGCCGATCCATCGCAGGGCACACGCAGACACACTTCCACTAGAGCCAGTTTTCCCAGAAGCCAGTTAAGCTTCCAGTCTGTCTTGGACTATGGGAAGAAACTGGAGCACCCAGAGAAAAAACC